TATAAATGTTCTTGCAACTCTAATAGGATTGATAATTGTTGGTTGGGAAGCTTCTTCAAAGGTCCTTTCATTTCCGAGCAGACAGGCGGAGTGGCAATGGGAAGTCCACTTATCCCAGTCATAGCCAACCTTTTTATGGAACACTTGAGAAGAAGGCATTTGACAGCGAAGAACCAACCAGCAATTTGGTTCCGGTACGCAGACGACACCTTCGTGATTTGGAAACATGGCAGGCACAGGCTAAACGAGTTTCTGCAGCACCTAAACGATCGGCATCCAAGCATACAATTTACCATGGAGATAGAGAGTGACCAACAACTGGCCTTCTTTGACGTACTAGTCAGGAAGCGAGGAAACAAGCTGGGTCACAAAGTGTACAGGAAACCAACGCACAGAGACAGATACCTGAACGATTTGTCCAATTATCACCCAAGTCAGAATTATGGAGTCATCAGAACCCTGACAGAACGAGGTCGAAAGATTTGCGAACCGGAGAACCTCCAGACAGAACTTGAACACCTGAAAACTGCGTTCGAAGCAAATGGCTACAGCAAGAGGGAAATCGAAAGATCAATGGGCTCGAGATCAGCCAGGCCACGTGAAACCGAACAGCGTCCCACCACCTCTCAAGCGTATCATTTGTGCCAAGAGTCACGGACAGGATTTGCAGAGTCCTGAAGAGACATGACATTAAAACAATCTTCAAGCCTACGAAGAAGATCCAACAAACCATCAGATCGGCAAAGGACAAAAGGGACACACTCTCAGCTGCAGGAGTCTACCGCATACCGTGTTCATGCGACAAAGTAGACATTGGAACCGCGAAAAGATTAATGAGAACGAGACTGAAACAGCACAAAGCAAATTGCCGGCTAGGACAAACTGAGAAGATGCGGTAGCTGAACATGCACTAAGCAATGGGGACCACAGCAGACACTTTGGGAGCTGCAGGCTGCTGTCAGCAGTCAACGGCTATCACAATAGACTGATCAGGGAAGCTATCGAGATCCACAAACATCCAGATAACTTCAACAGGAAGGAAGAGACCCTCAGACTCAACCCGATCAGGCACCCGATCCTCAGAAACGCCCGAGCAGTGCCGATCGACATCCCGAAGTCAACCGAAGCGGAACAAGCCACGTCACCTACCCTCCGGTATAAATAGAACCTGCGCAAGAGAAATCGTCAGTCTACATCCAGCATCGGAAATGGAAGGACCTCTGAAGAAGCTTGCCATTCGTGCTATCGAAACGTTAGGAAGAAATTCCAACCGACGACGGCTTTTAGACCCGAATCAAGACAGCAGTTTATCAACTGGCCGCGAAAGCCTTAACCAATTTGTCACACGTTAATCCCTCTGAGTTCGCTACAAACATGTATAACAAAAAAATTAACTGGATCAAATCAGCCAAACAGGTCCATTAGTCCATACTCTATGGTCCCACCCATTTAATAACGCTATACAATATCTTTTTTTGAAAATGATCAAGATGCTCTGAAACGTCTAAAACTAAAGTATGAGCAATTTTGATTTATCCGTTTTTTGTCATCCACTTCGCTGCCACTGGACCTATGTTCAAAAACTACAAATGCAAAATGTAACATCAAATCGAACAGTTCTTTTCAAGTCATAGGCGGGCCAAGGATTAGCAGACAGACAGACGAAAATGAGCGATATGATTTTCGTGATGTCTGTACATGTTCTGTAACATCCAAAGACATACATATCTCATTGTTAAAATGTTTTCTTCGTCAGTAGGCGGGCTAAGTAAAATACGAAAATTACCAGCTACCCGAGAGTGAGACTCGGAAAGTCACCATAGTCCTAGCAACTGCCACTATGGTGACTGTCCCCGTATAAATCTAATTAATTATTCTGGTTAAAGCCAAAGCACACCGCATATTTTCAGTTGGGATACTTCATATAATTAACAAATTATTATTGGACTTCCAGTATATATGTTATGTGTTAATGAAGCGCGGTTAATTAGTGGACCTCACAATGTGTTTAAATACCTTTAGTTGGCTTAACTGTATCAGTTTCATCAGAAAATTGAAAATGAATTTTCAGTCGATGTCAGAAGTCGCAGCGGCAGACTGAAAGCTGGGTATAGCGTTCTCCATGAGGTGTCTTCCTTAGAAAAATCTCAGCTGGTGCCAAAAAACCGATAGCTCGAACAGCACAAGTAGTGGTTTACTCGTAGGATGAAGAGATCGGAGGTGCTCCTTAGAACTAACTTTTGATTTGCCATAGAATAAATGAAATAAATACAGGGTGTTACTTAATGGTAGGCCATCATTGCAAGGGCTCGATTCTTGAACCAAATATATAAAAAGCTTTATAAGGATTTAATTCTTTATTATCATCACATTTCGTTGAATCTTGACAGTGTTGTTCATTTCAATAGGTAGGGTATTAGCTTAGGGTAAGTTAGCGCATAATTATGAAATCCAATGGCTTCTCGGGGGGGGCACTATCATGAATAATTTTGACAAAAAGGTGTATACCATTGACTTTTCAAATAATGTGTCTTTTTCGGACTAAGCAGCTAACGATACAACTTTTGTCCCTTGATATCACTTCATTTCTTACCTCGTTTTCAGAGAAAAAGAGGGTATAAAGATAACTTCATCGTTGGGTGGTTTACTTCTAGCACTTTATGTGAATTGTTTTGTCAAATTATTGTCACTTTTCGTTCCTTACATTTGAAGATGGCTTATAAAAATATTGTGTAATCACCAGACTAAATAGATATTTAATAATTTTTCGACGTCTAAAAAAACGAGGCAAGTACGAAGAGATAGCAAGACCAAAAAGGAGCCGTATCTTTATTTACTGCGGAGGAAACAAAATATGTTTTAAAAAGTCGGCGCGGCAACAGTTTTGGCAATATTATTTATGTATTCAGCAACATCCGACAGCCAAAGCCAATTACAGGATGGATAAACATGAAATAAAAGAAATCAGTGCATTAAGTGGATGGATATGTTGTATAGAAAGCTCGAACGCTGAAAAAACATCAAAACAGCACTCTGAAAAAAAAAGTTGTCTAGATATAAAATAAGTATTAATGTCTCCCAGTGTCGAACAAAATCACGCCACGTTGTTTAGTATTTGTTTGGCAGCCATCAATACTATACGTTTTCAGTGAATTTGTGGAAATGGAAAAAAATTGGTCATCGGTATGTGGTACAATACTTTTATTCAAAGGCCTCAGCCCAATCAATATAGAAGCTGAACTGGATTCTACTCTGGGTGAGTCTGCTTTTTCGTTACAACAGTAAAATATTGGGTAGCAGAGTTTAAAATGAGGCCGTATGAGCTGCCAAGACGAGCATCGCAGTGATCGACCAAATGAGGTGACGACTGCAGAAATGCAGAAATGGTGAAGAAAATTCAGCACAAAGCGGTACTGAATGATCGTCGACTGAAAGTGCGCGAGCTAGCAGACATAGTAGGCATTTCAAAAAGTGCGGTTCATCGCATATTATCTGAAAATCTGGAAATGAGAAAGCTGTGTGCAAATGGGTGCCGCGATTGCTCACAATCGAGCAAAACGGTGTCGTGAAAATGTTTCACTTGAGGGTTTAGCGAAGTTTCACAGCAACTAAGCAGAATTTTTGCGTCTTTTCATAACCATGGATCCAACATGGGTCCATCACAGACACAGACAAAAGAACAATCAAAACAATGGATTCAAAAGGGACAACCAGCTATGAAGAAAGCGAAGACCGTTTCATCTGCAGGCAAGGTTATGGCGTCGGTTTTTTGGGATGCGCGTGGGATAATTTTCATTGACTATCTTGAAAAAGGTAAAACTATCAACGGCGAGTATTATGCGAACTTATTGCAACGTTTGAGCGATGAAATCAAGCAAAAACGGCCGCATTTGGTTAAGAAGCGAATGCTGTTTCATTAAGACAATACAGCAGCTCACAACTCCGTTAATGCAATGGCCAAAATTAACGAATTAAAGTTTGAATTGCTACCTCATGCACCCTATTCATCAGATTTAGCCCCCTCGGATTAGTTTGTTTAAAAACTTGAAAAAATGGCTCAGTGGTCAAAGATTTTCCAATGATGAGAAGTGATGTCGGCAGTTAATGGCTATTTTGAGGAGCAAGACAGTTCTTATTATAAGAAACTGTATCGAACTTATTGAACATCGCTGGGAAAAATGTATAGAGCTCAAAGGAGATGAAGAAATAAATACATTTTTTTACAAAATATTTGTGTTTTCTTCGTTGAGTCGGGTACTTCTGGGACCACCCTCGTATCTAAAACGCTATTAACTGAACTATTATTACGGTATATTAAATTGATAGGACAAACCTTAAATCTGTCAGTCCTAGGCCTGGCTAAGAAAGAAGTTGCACGATTTCGTGACGTTTGTCTAGGAACAAATAGGTTAAGTTGTTCTAAGGTGACACTGAAGTCTATAATGACATGGATGAGCTGGTGAAGGAA